TATTTATCAAGAACGTCAAATTATCTGTGTGCCAGGGCCGCTAGATTCACGTGCGAGACACACGTCAGACTATTTAAGGAAACAGGTATGAAGCTGGTCCGAATCCAACCGCCTACTGTGGTAGAACAACCAGCTCCGGCCAGTGATCTCGTCCAGCCGCACCTCAATCCTCAGCATCCAACGGCTTTTCCGCGTAAACCACGCGGAAGTCGATGAGCCCGTGAAGGCTCATGTTCTTCAACTCGGCTCTTAAGTGGGCCAAGTAAACGGCAGTCTGCTCTTGCGGCCAGCCCATGACGTTGCCAAACATATATTGGCAGAGCCCCTCAAGATCTTGGGTGTAGACGAGGTAAAAGAATTGGCCGAGCTCCTTCCTCTTCTCATCCTTCGGCCATTGCGAAACCGGGATCTGATATGTAAAAGTTGTTTCTGGTTAGTGTGATGGCAGCCTTGCAGTTGTGCCTCTCGACTGCCATCACAACTATATAAGACCACTTGAGCGACCGAATTGCCAGCTTCGGTTACTTGTATCCTTTTGGAACATAGCCTAGTGATGTAGTGGTCCGCCAGCGCCGTGACAGTTAGCTTTCTTTCGTCATTCTTAGAGACAAGCCCTTCAAACAGCTTATGGGATGAGAACAACTGGATGTACAACTTACCGGGTAATCCTTCGTCGTAACATTTACGAAACCGGCCTCTTTATGGCCCGTTCCTGCAAATTCCTTTCGAGTAGATCAACTGGGTTTCCGGATTTTCTTCCAGCCTCCTGCCAAATCTTGCCCCATTGAACCATAGCATTTTCCCTATTTATAGTATTGTCCTCCGAGTAGATCGTACCCGACGCATCGATGTGTTCAATCCAACCACCAGGCTTCAGGCAGCGGTAAGCCTCTTTATATGCAGCAGTCCAATCCTTAGTAGTGCCAGTGAGCCAGCGCATATGGATATAATCGAAATGGCTAGATTTATAGGTCCACTCTTTAGTATAATCGTCGATGTCGAAGCGTAGATTAGGGGGTACCCAGGTAGGCTGAATCGGTGAAATATCGGTACCGATCACGGTGCAGTCGGGGAACTTGTCGGCAAAGTCAATAGCCCACAATCCTATACATTGAGTCAGTACCTCTACCTGGTTACTCATCCCTGGGGATCCTTGAATACATGGCTTACCCGTTCCAGTGCCAATATCAACAACATGCTTAGGGTCATCTGAGATTGGAGCCGTATACAGCTGACCATCAAAGACAAGAGTCATCGTATGATGGCTAAGTGTGGGTCAGGAAGCTACCACAGAGTTTGATCGTTGACGTTTAGTCACTAGATGTCCAGCATCTCATTCTGCTTCTCATCATTGGGACCCCTGTATCATGAAATGGTAGTTAGCTTCAGAAGCGCTACAACACAGTTCCCCAGGTCCCAAAAGAGACTTACCAATACTCTCTGTTCGTAACAGTATCGCTGTGATAAGTGCGGCCGTTAAGAGTACGATAGTGGAGGATACTCGAAGTAATCGAGGCAGTCGAGCTCTCAGTATCGCTTCCTAGGGTTGAGTCCCAGTCACTCTGGGTCCGCTGTCGGGAGACCTATGAGGCGTGTGAGACTTGTGCCAGTAACAAGCCTGGCAATCTTAACCGTTACGCAATGGGTGGCAATGGGCATAGAGAAAGAAAGCATACCTGCTCCAGCCAATGAGCGCCAGATAGAAGCCCAGGGATTTCTGGTGCCGGCGTGGACTCCCTCGCAGCCGCTGGAGTTACGGGAGCAGGTGTGGGGGATTTGGGTGCCGCCGATGATGCTCTCGCAGTAGCTGGGGACGCAGGACCAGGCGTGGGAGACTTCGCCTTTCCCTTTGGCGAAGCTGACTCGGATGCCGGCGACTGAGCCTTTTTCGCCGGAGAACTCATGGTCGAATCTGTGAACTCTTTTCACTGGAGCTAGGTATGGTCCAAGATGCAGAGCCGTCCGATTTATGGAATGCTATCAGTGCCAAATCAACCCTGGTTTGTTTGTTAGCGTGATTTTTACGACCTCTTCCCACAAGGGAGAAAACACTGGATGCCGGAGCTCTCCCTGGTCCAAACCACCGCAGAATCAGGGTGAGGAACAACACTTGGTCACGTTCCACACATCCTCCAAAACTTCGAACTCGGTAATCCGCCATAGTAATCTTCACCCACCCCTCTAAGTCTGAACTGCGATAACATTACCAAAACAACAGCTGAAATCGTGTATCCTGTTCGAGTTAACTTGAATTCGAATGGGCTCTGCCCCACTCTGATTTCATAAGATGCCCCTTCAAATTTCAGTGTTGTGTTGGTGGTCAAAATGATGCTGAGACTTACATTAATGACTGACTTGCCGACTATGCGAGGTAGGCCCGCTGTACTTTTGGTGCAAAAAAGGCGAGTTGCCATGGCGCATTACCGAAGTTTGTGTGATAGCGAATGCAACCCAGAGGTAATGAATGCCCATGTCAGACGTGAACCTAATTGTATCCAAGACTGTCTACGGTCCGGCGATTCGTAAAGAACCAGTCAACTGTAACTGCGTGAGAGTGTCACGCCTCAGAGTAGTTCTGTGCCCGTTGCCCGATACATAGCTGAGATCTACATACTCGATATCCCCGAGACGGTGATATTTGAACTCAACAACTGCTCTTGTGCTTGTATCGATAAGGCGAAAGGTAGAAGCCGTTCTGTCCTGACTCCTATACTGAGTGCAAGTGTCCTAGTGGTCCTGCAAACAAGTACGTAGCCACCGCGGCAGGTCAGGGTCAATGATGGCCGGTCTTCCGCGTCCACTGAAGAGGCTGCGAGGTCTCCTGATGCTGCTGTCGCTAAATTTCTCATCGTCTGCTGGATCCAGAGTCTGAAAGCAGTCGAATAAAGTGAGACTCGGCTGTCGCCTAACAGCAGTCATTGGTGTGTTTCACGTCAAATATATTCTTCCGAGGAAAACGAGGAGTGTCACGGGGGCAGCTTGCTCAGACTTGAATCCCTTTGCTGTGAACCCTCTTAGTAGCTTGTCGTCACCAGCGCAACTGGGTATCTCAATCGCAGGCCCATCAACCGGGTCACAGTAAATGCCCAATGAACAACCTGGATCGCCCTCGAAGAAGTCGCGGTGGTCCCTAACCAGGCCAGATGTTCTGACCAAGCTTGAAATGGCTTGACACAAGGGACAACTGGCTGCGGAGATATCGATGCGACTTTGAGCTCCGAGCTTTTGGTCTCCCCCAAGCCATGGTCTCGAATACAGAATCACGCCTCTGGGGACATCGTCGGACCTCGGACAGCGGAGAAGGGGAGTACAAACGCGGAGGTTATGGTCCGTTAGGCCTTCTTGTTGGCCGTGTAGTGTTGGGGCGAAGACCCGAATCTTGAGTTTGGGTAGATTCCATCTCCATATGTTTGGAGTCCGAATAACCGGAACGAAAAATGTCATGTCATCGTGCAATTGACGATGTTGAAGTGGAAGTCAGACGGTACTTTTATGCGACAGAGTGGGAGTGGATTGAGTGGTTGGCGTCTCTCATCCCAGCACTCTTTCCAGAAAACTTGGGACTTCATGCCGTGCGATCTTATTCGATGAAAGCTTTGCCGCGCAACACGTTGCACAAACCCAAACTGCCGGTTGTCGCTTCTTGCTCATGATGTTCATCCTCGGTTGTTTGGGAAAGGACCCCTTGCAGCCCTGGAAACGTTGGAACGCTAGGGCTTTTGGGGGCTTGCAGCGCGCAGCTTTTAGCGCAAACCGTCTTGCCAAGCCTTTCCACTGTACAATTACGTGCATCCTATCCACTTTTGTCAAATATCTTTGTTGTCATTGGTCAATTGTTGCCACTGACCTGCCTGCCAAAGGACAGAAAAAGTGAGATGTTTTATGCTTGATCTGCCATAAAGAGACTGGGAAAGACAGTCTCAGCTCTTTTGTCTCGAAGGAGACAACACCGGGATACTGGAGCGTGCCAGGTGGCGTGGATGAAAGGGAAAGATTCCCCAGACATACACATAAAAAAAACCACCCCCGCCATGATCCGATGCTAAAACACGCAACCCCGCCATTTCAATATCTCGATCCTCCCATCAATTCACAAGCACATGTCATTCTTTCTGCCATTGGGTTTCCTTCTTGCTTGTCTGGATGAAGTGCCGTAGCGCCGACCACTGAGGGAATTTCTGGACTGCCTGGTAATACTCGTTCTGGTAGAGGGTCAGACACGGACACACCACCCTCCGGCGCGCCGTCCGTCTGACAATCTCCGTTGGAGTTTCGGCCGAATTACAACCACCTACAGGACAAAGAAACACCATGGTAGAAATATGTAGGTGCTGGTACAGTATCGGTCTATCGAACACAGGCTAGGTACCTTAGGGGAACGTCACTCCATCCATCCATCCCACTCCATCGGTTTCTCCATTCTTCACAAGGAAGGACAAGGCACACGAATAAGTCCCCGGACCCGTCTTATGAATTCGGTATGGGTTTATATGGACCCTCCCAATTGTCATATGTTCCAATCTTGATGGCTGACATAGCGCGTCATGTAAACATGTCTCCATCCCCCGCAACTCTCCAGAGCCGAAAGTGGCCGTGGCGTGAAAAAGCCATGAGATGTTGGATCTGCTCGAGTCGCGTGCATGCAGGCATGGCAGACTTTTGAGAGTTAAGAAATTCCCATAAGACGGGGCGTTCCCCGGTTGCCCGGTAATTCTTGTTGTTTCTTTTCCTTTTCTTCTTGTCTATCCATCTTCAACATCACCGCCCTCACCACCCAACCTCTCAACAACCGAGGTGCCACCACCACATACCACATCTGTCCAAAGCGGAGGGCATACATATATACTTTGACAAAACCCCGTCGTCCCGATTATTATTGTTATTGCTATCATTTCTTTGAATTCGGTGTATAATTCTACTTAAAAATGGCACCCATCAAGCCCCACTGGGTCCAGCCCTCCCACCCGGACCGTCTTCACCTCATCGTCAACGAGGCCGAGTATACGTCCAAGAGCATCTCCAAGATTACTCTCCCGCCCTTTGCGCTGTTCGCCAAGCTCGAGTACCCCCCGTGCACGCCGGCCGAGAAGCCGACGTATGCGACCGTCCAGTGTGGCCGTGACAAGCACCTGGACTTGAACAGCGATTTGCTGTACATCAACCACTCTTGCGAGCCGTCTCTTGTATGTTCCTCCCCTCCATCTTCAATATGTTTGTTGTCTTGAAAAAGGAAAGAGAACCAGACGCTAATTGTAGCTACCAATGGTCAGATCTTTGACACGGGTAACATGAACGTCATCGCCGGCCCGAAAGGGATTCAGATTGGCGAGGAATTGACCGTACGTCTTTCTTCCTCCCCCTTCCTCTCCCTCACCTATTCCCCCCCCCCCGGTCCTTCTACTTCTAGCCCCCAACCAGCCAGCCGCAAACCCCCATTTCCCTCTTCACTCACTCCCAGCAACTAACATCAACCTTTGTGCCGCGACAGTTCTTCTACCCCTCAACAGAATGGACCATGGCCCAGCCCTTCCAATGTCTCTGCGGTAAACCCACCTGCCGCGGCCTCATCTCCGGCGCCCGCGACATGACCGACGCCCAGCTCAGCGGTATCTGGCTAAATGGCCACATCCGCGAACTTCTCGAGGAACAGCGTGGTCGGGGCTACGATAACAACCTTTCCATCAACACTCTTTCCACTACTACCACGGCCAATGCCAGCACGACCGCGTCTTCGGTTAACGGAGAAATAACAACAACAACAACAACAAATTCCCATCTAGGCTCGCGTGGCATTGTTCCTAAACATCCACTGACAAGACCCTCAGATAGCATGGACTGCAACCTCTCTGAACAAGAACGATAAGAAACAAACTTCCACTGACAAGACCCTCAGATAGCATGGACTGCAACCTCTCTGACAACAACAACAACAACAACAACAGCGAGAAATTCGCCGAACTCGAACTCGATCAGACGGCTCGAAGCTTGAGAGATGCTTTGACCCATGCGGAAAAGGTGGTCGAAGCCGCGAGGAATGCGCTGACCAGCTACGTTGGCGCTGTCAACGCCAAGAGCGCGAGCAACAAGGTTCCCGAGGGGGCGCAGAGACGGGGGCCGACGAGTAGGGAGTTGAGCGGAGAGATGGGGGGTGATACGGAGGTTGTTGCTTAGGCAGCATGTGCGATTGGGGAAACCCATTCCTAGATACAGGGAAGAAGGGGTGGTATCCAGGATAGAAAAAACGGTAGGTTTTGGTTGCACATGCTGTGGTTTGTTAGGCGGAGGAGGGCTGATGCTGTCTCTGTTTTTTCTTGGACATTGGGGGGTGAACTCCGAGAAGAGAGATGGCGGGGCCTGAGGAATCTGCCGTCCTGTCTTTACTGGTTGTTTTGAAATTGAATAAAACTCTTGAAAATGTATCTTTGGTTTCAATTGACTATAGGTGCGCATTGTACATGGGGAGATCGTGAGCAATATGTGAAGAAAAGGAGGAGAATACATGGTTTGCAATCTTGAAATTTTTGACCACCGGCCTGGGTTCAAAAAAGCTGCCGGAGCGCAAAAAGTAGATGGAGAGAATGTGAACCACTATGTGAAAGAAAGGGGTGAGAGGACATCATGGATATAAAAATACATGGTGTACAGTAACAACGCTTGCCTTCTGTCTTCGCCGGTGTGGGACCACTTCTCCTCTAGGAAGGTCGCTCGTCATCATCATCACTCATCCCAAACAGACCAAAGCCAAAGCTTTTCCGTCCTTACGCCATATCCCCCAATAACCCAAACCACTACCATCACCTCACCTCACCACCGGCTCCCTCACCTTGCCTCCCCGTAAAAGCAGGACAAGTTCCCCCCTCCCCTTCCCTAGCCCCCTTCATCCCTCCCAACAACCAATCCGTCAACCCAACCACAGTAGCACCCACCCCCTTCTCAACCTCCCCGCTCTGCTGGACATGTTCAATCGTATGACTCAATATCCGTCCCTCGCCATCAAACTCAAAGATGAACAGCCCCGTGAACTCCGACTTCTTACTGCCATCTCTCCCAGCCGAAGGTTCCGCATCGCCCACGGGTGCTTTGTATTCCGTTTCAGTGGCACCCTTCAAATCCGCATCCCTAACCCCCTTGGCATCTTCACCTCCGTTAATGAAACTCAACCCCCAGTTTTTCGACTTCCCAATCGTCCGCCACCGCACAATCAACTGCTCGCCAAAAGCGCCGATGCGCCGGTTCTGCGACTGCGGGCTGTACAGCGGGCGGTCGACCATGCGTTCGGATAGGATCTCGATGCGAACGTTGCCGATTATTGGGAGCCGGTTCCAGGCTAGCGGGGCGGTCCAGAGAGCGGCGATGTAGGCGACTCGGCCGGTGACGGTGGGCAGGTGCGGGTGCGTGGAGGGGAAGAGGTGGAGGGAGATTTGCGGGGAGAGGATGGAGGTGGGTAAGGGGGATTCGAGGATGGTTGGGAGATGGGCTTGGAGGATTCGAAGGGCTGTTGAGAGAAGACGGGGTTAGTTTGTTGTATGTTGGAGATGAGAGGGATGAAGTGGGTAAACGTACTTTTGCCGAGCTTGACTTTGCGCTCGTCTGGAGGCTTGTTCAGCCCGCCGGGGCCATCTGGAGGTCGGATCTTATCGGTGTTGGATTCTGATTTCGCTTTCGCGGAAATTTGGACTTTGTTGGGATTGAACCAGGTTTCGGGGAGGGTAGATGTTGAGCGCTTGTTGGTGGTGGTATTTGCGACGGACGCTGGTGACGATGATGCGCTGGCGGCTTTCTTTGATGACGTCACCGTCGAATATGTTGGTGGCCTGTTGGAGAGAAAGTACGAGCGACATTGGGATGGCTGCTGTTTGCCCACCACACCACCGGCGGCTATTCGGATCCTCGTGGGCGCCGACATGGTGGTGTTAGTTGGCGGGTACGAGGGCCGACAAGGAGTGGACTCGCAACGTGGGCTGTCGGAAAACGCCGCGTGTAGATGAGATGGGTATGTATAGGGCTGGAATGCAAGATAAGGCCGGGTTGCACACACAGCAGTCGATTTGTAGGTCGGAATTGCAAAGAGTGAAAAAGCCGAGTGCGGTTCGTTGTGAATCTGATGAAGGGTGCGGCACCGGGTGGAATGATGTCAGCGAACGGATTGGCTCGGAAGTGGTGTAAGACACGACGCCCAACTGGATGATAGATAGAGCTGATAAGAGGGCCGGGCCCGGGCGTGTTATCGGACAGGGATGCCGGGGTAGGAATTGGGGTGGGAATAGTGGCAGTTTGTGGGGTTGGTCTTCTTTATAGCTCAGCAGGTTCGTTCCAGACTTCGACATCATGGAAACAAATTAATTCAGTTGCGGTTTCAAAGGCACAGGAGGCTGTAAGGGCATCCGAGGTACCATCATTCATGATTAAAACACGGGTCGCGAGGTACAGAGTAAACCTCGAGGTCCCATTTTGTCACACCCGAGGGCTGTTTCGCACAGTATGAGCCTTATCTTATTCGGCATAAAATGGAAGGGGTGCGGGACGAAAGCTAGAGGCTTCCTAGAATCAGGAGTAGAGTACGAAGGGACCCTTCCATGACAATCGACTTGTTCAGTTGGGCATTCGGAATGGTGCACTCCTTTTTGATATACCGACCCAACATCCATCTTGCACGTGAATCACGAGATCCAAAGAGGTATCATTCACTCATTCAATGGAAGCCCATGTGGACACCGCTCAGGTGGCCCAGCCCCCAAGTCCATCTTAACAAAGCCGTGGGAACAAGAGAAAGACGTTTTAACCTTCGAGGCAGAACAGAACAACAAAAAAAGCGTAGATATCACTGGCCCATATCTGAATGGACAGTATCCTGGAAGTCAAAGTTCATCATCATTGTTTCTTCCGTTTCGGCTGCCTGAGAAATGCACATCATCGGAAATCAGAAATTGTTAGTGCAAGACTTCAACCAAAGTGTGAAAGTGTCAGGAGGTGGCAGCGTCCCGTCACGTGCATAGTCACCGCCAGAGTCCCCTGTTTTGGATGCTGTCCCGCCTCTTGGCCCTCGTCGCCAATCACCATGACCGGGACCCTCTGACGCCTTGACGCAGCTGAGCTCCCACTGAGTGTGTGTGTGGGCTGCCACTGCCACTCGCTGCCAGCAGACAGGGCGCCAGGACAGGGCGCTCTTCTCCCATTCCACGGCCCTCTGTTGCTCTGCGTGTTGCTCTGCCCGTTCCAGCCAGGTTGACTGCGTGCTGTTGCTGCCTTTCCATCTTCCACATCATCAATCAACCAGGAATACGACCAACTAATCTCATTAAAGCCATCCATCTTTCGCTCCACCACCCTTCTACTGATACCCGCCTTAATTCCTCGCTTTCCGACACAACCCATCACCACCACAGATCGCATCGCGTCCCTCGCTGCCCATCATGAACCCTGAGTAGTAAGTCTATCTATTCTTGGTCTGCTGTCGCTCTCCTCCTGTCCTATCCCTATCTGCCTTTCCTCATCCTCTCCATGCTGCTGCCGCGCAGCCGCCTTAAAATCACCGCCGCCCCTCGTACCATGCTACCGCCATGATTGCTAACACATTTGACCTTCAGGGTGCCCACCGCTTCCCTTCATCGCTCGACGACGTCGTCCCCTTCCCTTCGCGCCTCGACCGATTACCGCCGCCACTCTTTCAACGACCCCTGCTGACGATGCAATCAGATACGACTACCTCTTCAAGCTCCTCCTCATCGGTGACTCCGGTGTCGGAAAGTCTTGCTTGCTCCTTCGTTTCGCCGACGATACCTACACCGAGTCCTATATCTCCACCATCGGTGTCGACTTCGTACGTCTCATATCCTGCCAGCGCGACACATCCGCTCGACCCTCTTCGGCATGCTGACCCTTTGCCTAGAAAATCCGCACTATCGAGCTCGATGGCAAGACCGTGAAGCTTCAGATCGTAAGCAACCACCGAAACCCCCCTGGACACCTCGGGAATCTCGAGTCGCTGACCACGTCAATTCATTATAGTGGGATACCGCCGGCCAAGAACGTTTCCGTACCATCACCTCTTCCTACTACCGTGGCGCCCACGGTATCTGCGTCGTCTACGATGTCACCGATATGGACTCCTTCAACAACGTGAAGCAATGGCTTCAGGAGATTGACCGTTACGCCACCGAGGGTGTCAACAAGCTCCTCGTCGGTAACAAGAGCGATATGACTGACAAGAAGGTCGTCGAGTACACAGTCGCCAAGGTACGCAGCCACCCCTAACCCTCACAAACGCGCGTTTCAAGCCACGTACTTACACATGGACCAACAGGAGTTCGCCGATAGCCTGGGCATTCCCTTCCTCGAGACCTCCGCCAAGAACGCCAGCAACGTCGAGCAGGCTTTCCTTACCATGGCCCGCCAGATCAAGGAGCGCATGGGCAGCTCCATCGCTACCAACAACACGAAAGCCAGCGTCAATGTTTCCCCCGGTCACGGCGTCTCCAACAACTCTTCCGGCGGCTGCTGCTAAAGCGTCTGTGCCCCACGGCATTGCTTGCGCTTTCGGCGTTACGGTTCTGCATCGGACGGTTTTTGACGACATGATGGTGCGGTTGGATGTTACGGCGTGTGCATTGGGTTGAGCTGTAATTGCGAATACTGCTCTAATGGGATCTCAGTTGGGAATTTTTCGGCGCTGCTTCTTCGGTTTTGCGAGGGACTTAGGAGGAGACTTGAGGTGGCTTTACATGTTGCCTTTGGAATTCTTCATACGGCTCCGCGGGCCCTTTTTTGCTTGCCGGGACAGGTTTAGGGTGGGGCCTAAGAGGATGGCGATCAAACGCACCACGAAGAAAGGAGCCTAATAGCTGGGTCGTCCATCGGTGTCTGTCACGCTTCCTGGCAAAGGGCAAGGGGGGAAAGAGCCGGGACTGGCTGAGAATTGGGATGGGGCGGTGGGCTTGTTTAGAGAGCTTCCACAAATCCTTACCTTTGGGGGAGGTGTGCGTTGCGTGCGTGTATTTTCGATCTTGGGCATAACTGAGGACGCGGCACGGGTTTTTATCACATTGTTACTTTTTGGTCTTTTTAAGGAGCTACTGTTTTGCTATTTCTTGCGTTTTTGAGGCAAACCCGGTTATTTCTTCCCTTCTCACAGCTCTCTCCAGCCAAGAAAATTCTTTGGAGAGATGACCAGCACAAGCACATTTACGCCAGGAAGAACCACACACGTACGCGCACGCCCACCATGCACAAACACACGCCCACCAAACTACAAGCCATGATCCAGCCATTCTCATAGACGCCTCTCGATAGTCACTCGCGCTTGATGATTTGTTTTCTCGAGACAGCAGACGGATTTGGTAAATTCTATATTTCGATAGTCTATTTGGATCTTCTATCTCCAAGTCTAACTTACTCAAGATGCTTGTACGGAACCGGCAGGATGGCATACCTCGGTATTACTTACCTTACCTACCAGCAACAATGAGTGAGTGAGTGAATGACGAGTGACAGATCAGAGAAGAAGCAATTGCCACTTCTGAACCAAGTGCATGATACGTTTCATTTGACTGAGCTGAGCGTAGATATCACAACCATGGCACCCACCCGAGACACTCACGAACTCCGAACTGAAAGCAGAACAACCAAAACACGAAATCTCTCAACCACTCAAGTAGAGGTAGCAATGCTTATTATCGGATCATAAGTAAGTGAGTGAGTGATGTCGCTCGGGAGGAAACAGAAAGAAGGAAAAGAGAGGAAAAGGACATTGACAAAAAGATTAATTTTTTAACAGGAACGAATAACATGACATAATATGATACGACCATCGAGATAAGAACATTGACCACGGACACTACGTACACTAAAGTAGGTATCAATAATAAACACAAAACAATCTCTCTCTCTCTCTCTGTTAGTTCACTTGTCATTTTGTTTCCCTTTGTTATTCGGTACTAGTGGAAACTAGACCCAAAGTTCGATCTCCAGAGTGAGATTACAGGTAGAGGGACGTTAGTTAATTTACACAGCTCTCGTCTTCGCGGCATGTGATCTTTATAAATCCTACTTTTGTGTTTCTACTACTCGTAACGTCTGCGCCAGTCCCACTCAATCTTTGAGTCTTGAATTGCCGAGTGTCCGAGTGTTCGAGTCTCGAATTAATTTCCAAGGCTCTTACATGTTTCCATGTTTCCATACTATACCTACGGTAGGTAAATTGTACGTAGGTATGGACCTCTACGTAAATAGAAAAGAAAAAAAAATCACACTCACCAGGAGGAGAGCAAGGCAACGAAAACATCCTTCAAGTTTTCCAGGACAAAGGGGGTTCCGTGCTGCACTATAGACTATAATCTTTACAGTATAACGCAGTGATAACAGGGTCTGATGAGATGCCTACATGGAAGAAACACGATGAGATACAAAAGCCCAGCAGAGAGAGGGGAGCCATTCCATACAATGAACGCCCTTTGTTATTAGTGTTGTTCCCGGTTGGAAACCAGACAGTCCCTGACCTATCCTGTCCCGTCCTGTCCTGTCCTGTCCTGCCCTCTCCTGCCCTCTCCTGCCATGTCCCATCCTCCCTTCCCCAGCGGGTTGTTTAGTAGATCTATACGAGGGAGGGAGAAAGGGGGGGGAGCGGCCAACAAAGATTGGGGGGAACGGTAAGAATCCTAGGTACCTAGAGGTAGTGAAGAAATCTACATTAGGTATCTAGCCGGCCCACGTCCTGGTGCAATCTTCAAGTGCCCAAGTCTCCGCCCCCCTTACCTGCTCAGGACAAGCATGGAGGTCGAAGAAGCTCGGACCCATCCAGAGCCCGAACCCGTAGCAGCGATTGACGACGGCGCCGCCCCATTTCTCCGAGGCGTCGTCGCAGCCGCAGCCGTCGAGCGCGCCATGCATGTAGCTGAGGCAGTCGGCCTCGTCGTGCATCCACTCGCACCCGTCCTCCACGTACAGCACCCACTCGAGCCAGTACCAGCCCATGTCGATCGGGTGCGCGCGGTCGTCGTGGTACTTGGTGTCCTGCGGCGGCGTCGGGATCCGCAGCACCGCCGTCAGCGGGCCCTTGATGGCCTTGCCGTATAGCGGGCTCCCGGACCCGCAGAACCGGTCGATCTGCGCCATGGCGTCCTTGCGCCGGAACGACACCCAGTTCTGGTTCCACTCGTACCTGCAGAACTTTTGGTTCTGGTGCGGCATCCCTTGCAAGGGCTTGCCGGGCGTCGACCAGAAAATGCTCGGCGCCTTCTCGTCGAAAGCGCCCGAGGCGTGGTCGTAGATGAAGTTGGTAGAGCCCAGCGCCAGCTGACTCCAGCCTGCCGCCTTCAGCTCCGCGGCAAAGTCCGTCATGTTGACGGCCTGGAAGTAGACGGCGTCTGGGATTGTCGGACCTTCGCGGGGTCTCGCAGGGGTGTCCCACGTGTGCGCTCTGCAACCGAGTGCCGCGAGTGCCTCGGCTTGGGCAACGGCTGGGAAGAGGGCTACCGGCAACGCCAGGAGGACGGTTGCAAGGTTGGCCATGGCCTGGAACGACATCACTGTGTTTGTGTCGTAGTGGTCAGGTCGTGGACGGTACTGGTATGGAGTTTTGCGTTTCAAGAGGTCAGATTTGAAGGCACCTTGCAAGATGAGAAACGGATCATCAAACCTTGGGTGTGTATTTGTTTGATAGAGAAGGTGTCTTACCGATGAGATACTCGTTGGTAATACGAGAGGATAAATGGGCGAGAGGATTGATAGATGAAGGACTGGGAAGAAAAAGAGAAAGGAACCCGAGGGAGGGGGGAAGATTAAGTGTAAATAGTAAGGTAAATAAATTCCTGCCCGTTTCGTTGGGGACCAGACATGGACTACTGCAGATGTATCTGCCTTCCTCGTGGTCCAAATAATGAGTGATCAATACCAGGTTGTATGAAAAGAGATGGTTGAAAGTGGGAAAAAGAGCAGACAGATCTGGATCAGCAAGAATGGGGGCAGGGCAGCCAGACCTCCCGTCCTTATAAAGACCCGTGGCAAAAAAAACCAGACGCACCAAGTCCATGACAAAAAGAATATGCCAGGCAGGATGGATGCATTTTCCACATGTAACAAGACGTCCACTGATACAGATACCGTAGGAAACCTCCCCATCTGGAGGTCTGGGGCAAAAAAACCAGCTGTTTGGACGCGATTTCCATGTGGCAGGTGCTGACCAGCATGACAGAGCACTCCAACCGCATTATTCTGGGGCGTTGGAATTCAACAACCCTAGGATGGAGGGTTTAAAGAGGAATTCCTACCTCACCTATAGGGTTGCTGAATCCCAGTGCCGCGAAAAAAAAGTGCGGTATGTGCAAAAAACACGCCTCGGACTTGGTCGGCAACCGTGTATATAAGCCACCAACCCGAACGAGTACCGGTAGCCAAGGTTCAGAACCAGATCCAGAATATGCGGAGAGCGTGCAGTGCAGTGCAGTGCAGTGACAAGAATGCAGTGACCAAGCTGAGACAGGTGGCAACAATTTGCTCGAGTTCGATTGTCATCGAAATCCATTCCCCCTACCTAGGCACCCGCAAATTACTATTACTCTGACTCTTCACCACCACCGCCATTCCCCATCTCGGCCTCCTTCCCATCGACGGTCGCTCCCTCCCCACCGTCAGCCTTTCTCCTGTTCTTCTTCTTATTCTTCTTCTTTTTCCTGTTCTCGTTTTCCTTCTTTTTCTTGGCTGCTGCTGCCGCCACTTCTGCTGTTGCAGTACCAGCAGTACCAGCTGTGCCAGCAGTTTCGCCTTCAGATTTGGAAGTCTCTCCTGTTGGCAGAGTGGCTATCGTTGGCTTTGTTTCCTGCACTGCGCTTGCTGCACTTGCTACTGCGCCTGAGTCTGCGTCTGGTTGATGCTGCTGGTCATCTGTCGTCGTCGTTGGTTTGTCCGCAGGAGCAGGTTTTCCGCCTTCCTCATCTTGGACCTTGTTGTGAGAAATAGGAACAGGCACAGGCACAGCTCCCCTCCCCTTCGCCTCATCAGCAGCTCCCCTTCCCCTCCCTGCACCCTTCGCGGCCTTCCCTCCACCCATATCAGCCGCCGCAGCAGCAGAAACCACACCCCTCCTCTTTCCCCTAGCCCTAACAGCCCCCGCCCTACCCACCTCCTCCTCACTCTCACTTTCTTCCAGCTCTATCTTCTTCCTCTTCATTCCATTCAGTCCATTCAGTCCACCCTGCCACTTCAACCCCATCTTCCTCCTCAACTCCCTCTCCTCTTTACTCCCCATCGCCCCTCCTCCAGCAAGCTTGTCGAAGCCGTTCTCAGACTTGGGAGGAACCCACCCCAGTCCAGAATTAGGTGGTTGGTTAAGGATGGATCTTATCTCCTCTTCGTGATCTGGTACCCTCCGTTGCTCATCGTCTTCTTTTGCGTCATCCTCCTTTTCCGCGGGTGTGGTCGTACCAGATTTTTGTTGTAAAATAGCAGAAAATCCACCCGACTTTGGCTTGCTGTTGCTCACGGAAGTGTTGAGAGTGTTGGAAGGTGAAGAAGGGCGATGCTTGGAAAGAGAAGCTAATAACCCGCGATGCTTGGACACGGAGAGGGAGATGGAGTTGAGGACTTGGTTGAGGTCTGGGGCGACGGGGGGTCTGCCGTTGCCGTTGCCGGTGGCCGCCTTTGCGGTGCTGTTTAAGGGTTTGGACATTTTTGGTGGCACTTGGTAAGTGGTGAATGAAGCGCGAGTGCGATATAGTTCGATTTTTGGCTGGATGGTGCATGCAAAGTTGCAGCAGCACTTTCGTTGAGTATAATTGAAAAATCGGGTTTTACCAAATTTCAATTGGCGAGCTTGTAGGTTCGCTGATGCTCTACGTCCGGGAATGGGCGTCCGAGTTGAAGAGGTGAAGGCGTCGCGAACTGCCGGAAAAGTCCAAGTGGAAAGAACGCCGTCGAAAGTCAAAACACACGATTTCAGAAAGAACGTTCGATGAGTTGGAAAGTACCTAGAGTGCTTATCGGAAATTTCACCTTCCTTATCGAACCATGCTGTTTGATTGGCTACCAGCATTTGCTAGATTCCACTCCACTTTGAAACCCGGGGCGGGAGCCACACGGATTACGGAATCCCAAATCGGGCCCGGCTGCCCGGGACGGACATCGGATATCGGAAGTTGGAGATGCCGGAGGCTTCCATGTTCTGCTCGTTGCGTCATCAGGCAACTGAAAGCTTGCTGTCTACAGATACAATCCCCGGTTCCAGACTTCCAGGACGGAAGCTTCCTTGCTGCGTAGGTACTATTCATGGTACGTACTGTACCGATATCGGTGCCATGTTTTTTTTTTTTTTTTTTTT